CGGTTTGAGTTGCCTTAACTTATTGAGTTTTACAGTACTCAGTTGGTTTGAGTTCTCTTCATTATTGGGGTTTACTGTGCTCAAATTTCTTCGTTTACTCAAATGGATTAAGCCTACAGCACTCATTAGGATTAGTTTTTGAACTTAAATGGTTTGTTACAATCGGTTTCCTTAAATGGTTTGAGATACCTTAACTTTTGGATTTTACAGTGTGTTGATGCTACAATTTAGCCCTAATATAGGTATCAGAGTAGTAAATATTTTATCAGATTTTAACTGTTTCAATAAAGACCACAGAAAAAACTTAACTCACATATAAATATAAATAATAATAGAAAATAATAAATATACAAATACAAAAACAAATTATTGAACAAAAATCTAATTAATTTTACAATTATTTTTATTATTTACATGTAACTGAGAATACAATAGCTAATGCTAAATTATCTTGTTTGCTGATGGAACATGAATCAAGCTAAAACTACTACCTTTACTGTTTATCTTTCCAATTCCCTTCTGTAGACCTGTATCTAGCATGCATTTCATTCAAACACAGACCACAAGATCTCATTAAACCAAATTGTTGCATTTCCTTTTCACCTCAGGCAAACTCTAGGTGACTGAACTTCTTGCCACCCTTCCAAATGAGTCACATTAGTGAAGTGTATTTGCTTTCACTGTCTCATGTAGTCTGTCATAGAGAACAATAACAAAAGTTACTGGTACTGCCCTACAATGCTTCCACTATTTCAGGCACTACGTTTTGGACGACTGCCATTTATACCACCTTTTATCTCACTTTTAATGATGCTTTTCATTGTGGTCTGACTAGTTTTCCACAACATAAAACATTATCTTCTTGTCTGCACTTGCTTTTTATATTATCTGTCTGAAATGTTACATGGTCATAATGGTTTAGTATTTCATTGAAACTGCACACAGCGATCAAGCCAGGTTTGGCTCATCATTAAGGATATACCTGTATTAGCCCTGTTAGTAACAGATGCAAAAATTACACTATTTATATAAATCACATGTATTTCATTAAACAAATCGGTAGCGAATGTGTGATGCTATTGTGTAGGTATGGACTAAAATAGATTTTAAATATATTATTATTCAATATATTAGCTCACTAATGATATTTTGGGTATTGATTCTATTTTTAAACGTCTCTTTCATGTTTACCAGGCCTACATCGGATCTAAATTCAATGAACGATAATAGTGTGAAATACTAATGCAACAAAATGTTTTCTATTTTGAGAAATTTTAAATTGAAACATACGAAAGTAAGTGGTTGTTTAACTGGCTGAAGAATAGAGTAAATGCTCTAGTAACTTAACAAGCAGTGTACTGTATATATGATGTGAATAAAGCACATCATCCAATTATACTAAAAATATAATTATTACTATAGTATTATTATAACAAAACAAAACAAAAATTATTTTGCTAATATATGAATTAAATGATAAATTGTGAATAATGACAAGTGCACTGCACAACTGGCACCGTGCAAACCATAGTGGAAAAGCGCATTTGAATTTAGCAGCTGATCACTTGTTGTGCTGAATGTTCTAATCACACTGGTGTGATTGTATGCTCCAGGAAGCAGCCTAGATTGATCACACATTGATATTACATTTCAAATTTGCAAAAATGTGAAGTCCTTCCACTTTGCTTTCAAATGGCAGCACACTATACTTTGCTGCAATGTTCCAACACATGATTTTTATGATCAGAGTGAAATTTATGCACATGCTTTTCATTCACTTGCTTTCCTGCTTGCAGATACTGTAAGTCTAGTAACATACTGTAGGTTTGTGCATTCATTGATACTTGTGTGTCACATTACAAAAGTGGATGTACAGCATGATTAAACTAAGGTACCAGGTCTTGACAAATTTCAAACACAAGAGACACACTCTTTCCTTGTGAAAAAGGTAATGTAGCTCAGCTGACTACTTGATTGAATTACTGAAAACATATTTTAATATCTGGTGCAAAGAGGGCCTGAAAGTGTTCAAGACATTACTGAAGCTTTTTGCAAGAGCAGACAAATGCCCTCTCCAGAACCATCCTCATGAGCCTCCAACTGAAATAAATCTGAGATTACCACAAAGAGCAAATAAAGGCCAAGTCTAATGCATCTCACTACCAACAGCGGTACCCTTCAAAATCTGTAAATGAACAGAGGGGCTTGTTTGAATGTGTGTGTGATCTCTGAAAGTAGTTTGACTGCCAGACAAGTCTTATCTAACAAGGCTAACTGGCTCCTAATCACATTACAGATTGCTTAGATAACACAATGGGGCTATTTAATGAATAATTAATAATGGGAACCAAGTCTCAATTCACAAGAGAGATGGAATAATTAACCTTTCACCTTCCATACATATACATACGTGCTCTGTTGCAAAACTTGAAGTCTCTCACTGTCTCCTACTAACATCGGCAACTGCCTTCAGTCTAGGAAACCTTATAAATGATTTATATACACTGCAAAAAATATCTGTTAATTAGCAGTTGCCAATAGTTTGCAATTCATGGGGGGTTTCAGTTTATTTATGCTTTTGAATTGCATTATGGAACCTTGATCTCTGATACAAACAACTTTAGATGTTGAAAATTTAAGATTTGATGGCTATGTTAGTAGTTTTTTTTTAATTATATGGGATAGTCATATAAATTGTGGTACAAAAACAGTTAAGTTGCCAATTGAATGAGTTGCCAGTACTGCTATATTACAGATTTTTACATATTGTTTTTTACATACTATATTTCTTTTACAAAATATTGTTTCAAGCTACAAAAAGAAACCATTTGTTAAACTGCATAGTAAATTTTAAAAAGCAAAAGTTGCCAAAGCAGAGATCAAGCTCCCGAAATGCAATTCAAAAGTGTAAATAAAACACCTGTCAATCGCAAATATGCTAATAAAAGTGATTAATTCAAACTACTCGTGTGTTTCCATAAGGCAAAACAGTAAAAAAGAAAAAGGAAAAAAATTAAGATAAAACTTCCAGTGAGGCAGAATTAGTAGTATACCAATGGCATTTCATGCACTAGTTAACAAAGAGGTGTTTTCGAATCACTGTATGCTTTGTAAAATTGCGAACCTTTATGAGAGACGTCATTATATGGCACTCTAACTATTTTACGCTCTGTCAGTTTACTGGTTAATTCATACATGTTCAGTCGTTAAAAAAAAGTATGATTTTAAAAAGAAGGCATGGCACCCAACACTGCCTCTAAACCCAACCGTCATTGGGGATGAGCAAATCAAACTAAATTGTACAAATGAGATTGTACAAATTCATATGAATTAGCCACTAAATCAAAAAACTATGAATGGCATTGAGATTGTGTTGGCTATACATACTGTATACATACTGTATAACCAACCTAATCTAGTTCAGGGTTCATGAAACCACCCTCCTTCATTTCAAGTCTACCTCTGATTTTTTTTTCCAAAAACGCTCCAAGATGGGCGTGGAGCCTGTGAGCAGAGGGAAGAGTGGGCATGGCCGGCAGAGCAGGGGAAAAAGAGGGGAGCGAAGTGAACAACTGTCAGTTGGCTCACCAGCTCAAGACAAAAACAGACACAAAATGTAAGTAGACCCATGATTTTGTAGTTTACAAAGGTAAAATGCAAAGAAATAAGCAATTTAAAGCTCTGCAACATATATGATAGGTTATTCTTAATTTTATATAATATAGTCTACACACAACCACAATTTGTTATATTCTTATAAAGATAATTATGTTCATATAAACACTGAATGAGGAGGACTTCTCTCCTGAATCCCTGAGTCTAAATGCAGACACAGTGGATAGCAGTACAGCAGGTCCTTGCTATTTAAACCATTAACCCTGCCAGCAATCTGTATTTAAACATAGGTGAACACAGTTGCATGAATATAGGCAACATGGCTGAATGGTAATGAACTCAACCGATAAAAGACGAAGTCCGGCATTCTCCAACTCTCGTACAGCTCTCCCGACAAAAATGCTTGCTGTACACAAACAGGTTGGCTATATCAGTGGCCCTGACAGCATCGCGTGGAAAGCCATGAAACAAACCCAGTGGATCATGAAAACAAACACATACAACCCTTTATGAATGACTAAATACTGTGTGCCGTGGGCGGCTGCACTCACACAGCTTGGCCGGTCTGTCACAAGAAAGCACGTGCTCCCATGAATAATTAAGAAGCAGGGTCTTCTCATAGGATAAGAAAACTCACTATGAGTAATAATGAGAAACAGACACATCATCTATGGATGATTTTATACCCAGAAGATGAAATTAGCTGACAAAAGCTCAAAATTATCCAGGTTTATCCACAATTAAAGCTAACAGGTGCTAACATTGTCTTAACTGATGCTCAACACTGCCGTTAAAATCTTTAAAAAAAAGTACTTGAGGGTTTCTTGAACCTTTAAACGTGAGTGTTTTAAACATAAACAGCCTAAAGTTAAATCAGTGTTCCTGTCAATGATGAAATACTTTCCACCACCTCCCAAAAGACGATTCAACAGTTTGTTGAAGTTGTGTTCCCATTAGTAAGTTTGGATCACTAAATTTTAAATGACTGTCTGTTGAATTAAAGAGTGTCACGTCTAGCTTGTTTACTTCAAACAGGGAGACAATACCACTTTGGTGCGAAGCCTCATAGAGTATAAGAAAGTTGTAGATAGTCTAAGTCATGTGTCTAGTTTAGTTTCATGTGTCATGGAAAAGTAAAAAAAAATCTAATCAAATATAAACAAGGACTCTCTTTTAAAAATTTGTTTAGTCAATTGTGTAGTTTATGTTATATTATTAGGGCTTCCATCACCAAGACAATCTACTAATCAACAACAAAAGAAGAAAGAGAGTGAGAGAGAGGGGGGAGAGAGAGAAATAAACAATTAAATCAAATGAGACAGACAGAATGTCTCCAACCCTAAAGAAAATCTTTTGTATAAAACCATAACAAAGTTGCACTTTACCTTGTTCTCATCAAAAACATTGAAGACGAATGAGGCGAACTTGGTGGGGTCACCGAAGGGGAAGAACTGCTTGTAGATCTTCTGGAAGCCTGCAGCATCAAGCTGACCACTTGGACAGTCTTTTATGAAGCCCTTATACCTGCAGGAGAGGAACAAAAATAGTTTATTATAATGTCATGTACTGTCTTTGTTATCTCTTGTATTTATGAAAACCTTTTTTTTTATTTGAAGAATTTATCTTATCACTTTTTCATCCACAATTTGTTTATGTTTTGCAATTTTCTTTCTTCCAATTGGGAATTTATAGTCATTATTATTTATATTTGACTATATTTATTTATTTGTATTATTATTTATATTTGACTATATTTATATTTACTACATTTATACTCATTTGTAATTTGAAGTTTTAAACTGTAAGATATAAAACCACAGAGATAAATCTTTTTTAAAATCTTTTACATTCTTTTTTTTTTTTAACCCATTTTGTTATTGAAGACGCAGTAAAAATTTTTCAACATATTAAAACATACAGCTGAACAGTATATCCGTGAGTAAAGAACTTGACTTAACTTCATGCTAACCAAACTTGCGTACTGTATGCCTTAATAATCTGACTCCTCCTTCATGAGATATCTGAAGTCTGCTTTCTCTCTGGCAGTTAGAAATAATTCATAGCTACATCTGTCAACTTCCTGGACCCCACAGAGACTTGAGATTTAACAATGGAACTTATACAAAATTAAAGTTAGTAGGTGTCCCCTGTATGATATGCTAATCATAACTTCTCATTATTAAGCAAAAAATAAAAACTTTAACGTTTCCTTTTTTCTATAGAATTTGGTGGCACAGTGGTTTGGTGGACAACACTGTCGCCTCAAGAAGGTCGCTGGTTCGAGTCCTTGCTGGACCAGTTGGCATTTCTGTGTGAAGTTTGCATGTTCTTCCCGTGTTGGTATGGGTTTCCTCTGGGTGCTCTGATTTTCCCAACAGTTCAAAGACATGCTCTATAGGTAAATTGGATGAACTAAATTGGCTGTAATGTATGAGTGTGTGTGTGTGTGAATGTGAGAGTGTTTGTGTGTTTCCCAGCACAGGGTTGCAGCTGGAAAGGCATCTGCTGTGTAAAACATATGCTGGATATTGATGGTTTATTCCACTTTTGTATGCTTTCATCTGTTGTGTTTGTGATGTCTGGAAGAAATCAGGGAAAAAAACTATAGTAATTTATAATAAACAAGCACATAGTTTTAAAGCACATAGTAAAATGTATTATGTGTACAACTCTTTGTTTATGATTGCTACCAAATACTGTAGCATAGTAAATACTGTGACGTTAGTGTAAACTGTGGTGCATCATGATGGTGTATAATTATAGCGTAGAAAACTGAAGCCTATTGAATAATTTATTTATTACTACAGTATAATCACTATGACAGTTTAATTCAAGTACTTATCTATAGCATTCTTTCAAACACTATAGTATAGTATTTATTCATGTTACAATAGCTTATACAGCATCTACCACCTAGAAGACAGGCAAATATTTTAGTTCAGTAGAAAACTTGGCGCCCTTCATGATCATGCCCAACATATGTGCTTATTTTCTATATATGTTTCCTTTATAATTATAGTATAAATTACAAAAATACAGACTTTGCTTTATGTCTCCCCTTCAGTTTTTTTACTTCCTGCCCTCCATCTAAATTTCATGCATCACCACATGATTGCAAAAAACCTATAACAAGCCCCGTCCTCTAATGGACATATATTGTACCAGAAGGCCATGTATCTGAACAAAATGCTTACTAAGATATGTCTTTTAGATTTACAAAAATATAGATGGCGCTCTTTGGTGAATTTGCCATTCCAAACATACAACAACAAAACATAGTCTTCCGCTGTGTCCGAAATCGCATGAGTGCGCATCCCATGCACGCTGTGCTATCCCATTATGCCCCACGAGAGAATTCATAAATGTGAGTGAAGTGACGCAAATGATGCAGTTAGGTCACATGATGTTGACTAAATGGCGGATGTAGTACATCCAAACTCCATTCATACTGCTCACATTCATGCTGTATAGAACGTACTTTCTAACGACAGAGTTGTAATTTTAAATTCAAACACAGTACTTTCTGGCTTTGTCCAGCGCTACATGGGCATACATTTTTAAATCAATTTCTGAATGCTTTCTTTTAGATATCGAGCCTTGACCCCTAGTAGCATTATTTGGACTTAACCCTAAATGTTTCCTTATCATCTACATAATCAAATACACTTCCCTTTTGTTTAATATTTGTAAAAGACTTATAACACTGAATTGGAACAATCCCTCCACACCCAGTTACGTCCATTGGATGCATGATCCATAATACTGAAAAATTTGACATTATTTGGCAACCCTTCCTCTTACACTTTAAAATTAAATATAATAAATATATAAATAAATATGTGTATATGTATGCAAGTATACAGCTGAACTATTCTTAGTTATGAATGGAGAGTGTTTTTCCATATTATTATTCTTTTTATTCATTTATTTTCTATTGCTGTGCCCTTTGCATATTTTTATTTATATATTTTCTGTATTGTTGTTTGGCCTAATATGTGTTACTTTTATTTATAATGTTATTTATTTCTATCTGATAATTATTATATACATTCTTTTATTTGTTTTGTGTTTTTTCCCTTAATGCAAGAATATGTAACTGTATTACTTTATTCAGAGAAAAAGAAAATGTGAGCATATTGTGTTCTGCAGCTACATTGGAGCAGTTAATGTCTAATGATTCTATGTATCTGATGCTGTGGCTCTCAGACTAATACATTTCAATAAAAAACAAAGTTAAACTAAAACATGTAGGTTAAGGAATGTATTTCCAATAAGCCTGGAATGAGACTTCTTATCCACAATTCTATAGTGGGACCAAAGACAAAGACCATAAAATATCCTTAAAGGGATATTGGTGTAACCCACATAGTTATAATCCCAACTCAAATGTCACTGTTGGTGTTATGTCCTGATTTGCCGTTTTTTCGGTGGTCTTTTGCTCAAACAAGATTTACACAAGAATGAAACAGTGTGTCATTTCCATTTACTGAACCCTTATTAGTCAACTAAGCCTAGGTATATGTAGTTTTCCATGCTATGGCACCTTTAAATTTATAACCACTTATGCAAGTTCATTTAAGCAGACTTTCAATGCAGCTCAGCTTATCGCACTCTGGGAATCCATGCTGTTATATGTGATGTGACTGTAAAGGGGTCTAACCCCTATCTCAGCCCAACACACTCAGCTTTGACTTACATGCTTAAACTCTCAATGGAGATTCAGAGAGATTTAAGTCATAAGCCTCTCTTTTACTTAGTTGTCTCTCCTACTTCCTGATGATAAGAGGGAGGAACTTCCTTTTTCTAAGGAAAGAAGACACTACTAACATGGGCGGCAGGTTAAGAGCAAGGTCATATGTGTCTGTTTGCATACCCCAGCTTGGTTTGGACGGACACCAATTTTGGCGACATTTTGAGACATACAGTAAGACCCTCTGTGCTACCCCAGTGCTAAATTGGTACATTTGACAACAAATGAATACCCCTCAACAACAGATGAAATGAACCTAGTCAATTCTGCAGCTCAACAAGTAGATCTACTGTACAGCTGGTTTACTTGTCAGACCAACTGTTAAGTGTCCAATACCTAATCTAAAACAAGCCAACAGACTGCTAAGGTCAGCATCAAAAACAACAAATGCTCTTAATTTAGACTCATGTAATATTTTTGGTCTTGCATTTAGATGTGTGCAAATGCTAGGAACAGGAAACCCAAAATGCTAATTATTTAACATTTCAAATGTTTCAGCATTTCATATGGGTCTGTTTGCATACCTCAATTTAGAGTTTCAAATGATTTTGGATTTCTGTTTGCATATCCCAATTTGGTTTGAACTGACACCAATTTTGACGTCAGTGTTTTACAATATTTGTGTTACAAAAATTATTTAGCATTTTTAATTATTTAGCATTTCATTTGGGTCAGTTTGCATACCACAATTTAGCATTTCAAATTATTTAGCATTTTAAATGATTTAGCATTTCATATGGGTATGTTTGCATACCTCAATTTGGTTTAGACCAGTGGTTCTCAAAATTTGGTACGTGTAGCACTAGTGGTACGCGGGCTTATTTCTAGTGGTTCGCGGAGGAAACACTGAGTAACAGAACAAAAAATTAATAAAATTTTAATCATTTGATGCGTACGATAACACCAATGTGATTAGTATTGGCTGTTCTCTAAAGCCTATGATCAAAGCGCTGTGCTTAGAATGTTTACTTTAGTGCATCACGTCATCAGCTGCTAAAAATCTATTCAATTGGCACAGAACTAGAGAAAGGGGTGCATGGTGCTTGCAGAGCAGATACTGTACGGGCTAAAGCAGTGTTCCCCAACACGGACTGGCACCGGTCAATAGATCAACTGGTTCCAGACCGCACAAAAAAAATCATTAATTATTTCAGTTTTATTTATAATCTGAGTCTGAACAATCATTTATTATGAAAAATCTTTTATTTTCATCATCTCGGTCACTTGAGTGCCAAAATTTAACCCACAGGCTAGCAAAATGTGTAAGAACTGCAGCACGAAGTGCTTGCGTATTCCAGCCCCCAGTTGAAAACATCTTATCTTTTCAGAATGCCGCACCGCGAGTCAAGTGATAAAAACTGATTGTTCAGCTTCATATTTTGTATGGAATATAATTTCATTGAATAAATATGACTTTGCCTCGTTTTCGAACCGTGGAGTGCTGTAGCTGCTTAATTTGACCAACTACGCTTTATTTCAATACTGGTCATTATAGTGGTACTTGAAGAGGCATTTTTTTTTCTGAGGTGGTACTTGGTAAAAAAAGTTAAAAAGGTAAAAAAAAGTTTGAGAAAAGTTTGAGTTTTGGTTTAGACTAATACAAAACCTTTGGGATCAGTGTTCTACAATATTTCTGTTTTACAAAATACAACATATACAATACAGCGACATGATTTACAATATTTGCAATGTACTTAGACATTTTGTGTATTACGACTAAATGTTTACAGGATTTTTGTTCCAGTAGGGATAAAACTACAAATTCTGTGAAACA